TTTTCTTAAATTTAAGATTATTTTTACACATATTGAGCTGGGAAATAAATAAAACTAACTTTCCAAACTTAATTTATAACCTTTTTTATTGGTTACACTTCGAGTGCCGGACCCTGTATATACTTAATGGCAGGCCCGGCCAAGAGGAGCGCCTTATATTACATTATTGTGATCTGCACAGTCAAATAGCAGCGAGTTTTGTGAGTAAAATAAAAAAAAAAATTGTTGTTTTATTTTTTATTTTTCTTATTTATAACTTTGAGAATTGGAATTTTATTAACGTTGTAGGAGTAACATTTTGACTCTTTAATTAACTTTACAGTGTAGGGTAAGATGGGTAAAACCGACGGTGGGTAAAACCGCCATTTGGATTTCAAATTCAAATGAAGCGCCGAAACGAGTAATAACCGTTGATAATGTGGATTCTGATCGATAGTGCGCGGTTTTTGCAGACGGTCGGAATACTGCAGCTTTGTCGTGACAATTTATATTGCGTCATTTTTGTTTCACTCGACGGCAGCAAAAAATTTTTGTTATTAACATTGATCAATCAAGTGTAAATGAACGGCTTGAAAAAAAAGGGGTAAGTGTCCGCTTATAGTACGAACCTTGATACTGATGTACATGTATCCAGTTAGCCAATATTTCCAAAATTGTACAAACTATGTAACCTCGACAAAAAATTGGCGCTTGGGGTAAAAAAAGCCGCGAAAAGGTGGGGTAAAAACGCCACACAATTTGATAACGGAAAAACTCGTTTTAATCGAGAATGAATGTCTTTCATCAACATGCCTCGCAATTACGCAAGAAAAAAACCAAAAATTGTCGAAGACAGCGATGACACAGAGGATTAATTGTCCTGTTCGGAGCAGAACGCCAGCACATAATCTGGTGCGCATAGGTGTGCCGCTGCAGTTGCATATTTGTAATCCGCTCTTCAAGCCTCTCTTTGCTTATCTATGTTATCTATCTATTTTATCTATAATTGTCAAAGCGACGGTATAAATAAGCCGCGCTTTCGGCTTATCTCGCCTCAGTCAAAGCAATTGACCACTCGCCATATACATATACTCTGTTCGCGCAAATATCGAAAAACGAAAAAAGCATAAGAGTTGCAACTCCAAAATAAACATACTTTAATTAACTTAACCTACTCGTGCGTTATTTAATTACAAGGGTGGCATATTGGTTGTCTTCCCCATAAACATTTTGGTGACCCCGACGTGATATTCGTTCACGTAATATTAGTTCGGAGTCTGCAACTTAGTTTTCGTTCGTTTTAATTTCGCTTAAACATTTTGTCATTTGTCGTCGTTTGCGGGCATTCAGTCACAAACACACAACGCGCATACAAAGTGCATTTAGCCGGGCGTTTGATTTTGTACATTTCGCGCTGTTTTTTCGCTTTTGCTAATCGGGCAAAAACTGTGCACAAACAACAACAACAAAACAAAGTTCCCTAACCTTTCGGTGACGCTTAGTGCTCTAAATTTTCGCGCTTTAAACCACAGGGTGTTGTGTGCAAAGCAAACTCGATAAGAAATTACTTTTTGCTTTTTATTTTTTTTGTGAATAACTAAAATGCAAAATTCGGTGAACGATAGTCAGCCCCAAAATGGCCCAAATGAAATTGAATTCTTTCGGGCCAAAGTGCAATCCATATTGCGGCAAGTCAACGCTTTGAAAAATTATTTAGTGGAGAACAATATAAGCCAGTTTAATGAAGCCGATTTTCTCGTGCGGTTGAAATGGATCGAGGCACAAAACTTGGCGTTTGATTCTGCCCAGACAGCGCTGGAAAGGCTGGACTTGGAGGAGCTGGTGCTGGACACACGGATGGAGTTTTCGGAAGTCATAATGGATGTGGAGGCTAGGCTGAATCGAGGCTTAGCGGCGCAACGCAAATTGCAATTTGCTGGGGCCACAGCTGCCAACTCGACGTGTTTTGATATCACAAATAATCCAGATTTTTCTTTGCGGTCTAGAAAGCCTCGATTACCAGCTTTGGAGATCGCGCGGTTTTATGGATCCTACTCCGATTGGCCGGACTTTTTCGCCACTTTCAATACGGTTATTGGAAATAATGAAGAGCTAGCTGATATCGAAAAACTTCAGTATTTACGGTCTAGTTTAGGCGGCGTGGCTTTGGAAACCATACGCTCGCTCGAACCGTCAAATGCAAACTACCAGAAGGCTTTGAATTTACTCATAAACCGATTCGATAATAAAATTTTACATTTCCAGGCACACGTAAAGGCTATATTTGGGTTGAAGGGTGTCGAGAAGGGATCTGCCAAGGGTCTACGGGAGCTCAGCGATTTACTAAATTCTCATCTTCGAGCAATCCGAACCCTGGCTACTACGGAGCAAATTTTGGATGGACTGTTGATTCACATCGTCGCTCACAAGCTGGATCAGAGGACGCTGGAAAAATGGGAAGAGGTCTTGCCCATTGCTGAGGCTCCAACATGGACCGCCATGGAGTCGTTTTTGGAGAGGAGGTGTAGGATGATGGAAAATTTGGATCAAGCCTTGGTGACTCAAACACCAGGCCAGCAGGTGGGAAAAAACTTGCATAGACATTATTCGAATGTACTTTTCGCTTCTGCTAGCAACTCAAATCCCATGGTATGCCTATTTTGCAATGGTAGGGGCCATCATTTGCCGAAGTGCTCCCGGTTTTTGAATTTGAGTTCGAACCTTCGATTTCGAGAAGCAAAGAAGATGCACCTTTGCCTAAACTGCTTGCGCAAGGGGCATAAACTGCAGCAATGCAAGGCGTCTCATTGCAGGCATTGTCGCAGGAAGCATAACTCATTATTGCATATGACCCCGAAGCCTTCAGCATCTTCCAAATCATTTTCGTCTCCATCATCCGACCCACTCCTGAACTCTCAGCTATCACCATCCACCTCATCTGCATCACAGTCTCATCATCATTTGACAAACCCTCCACCCAGAACCTCAAATATTACGCCGACTGACTACGTGTTGCTTCCAACTGCTATTCTCTACCTAAAAAATAGAGTTGGTACGCTTATACCTTGTCGAGCTATATTGGATTCCGGTTCTCAATCCAACTTCATAACTTCGCGCCTAGCTAGCCAATTAAAGTTGAAGCATAGGCCATCGCTTACGCCCATTTCGGGGATCGGAAAATTGTCCGTAAAGTCGGATAGGTCAATCGACATTCTTGCGCAATCACGGGATGCAAGCTATCGTGCGTCATTCGCAGCAGTTGTGACGCCAACTATCACTGACTATCAGCCTCACTTCGACATAGATGCAACAGGATGGAGGACTCCAAAGGATATTTCGCTCGCTGATCCTCACTTCAATAAATCGCAACATATTGACCTGCTAATTGGAGCTGGTCTATTTTTCCAAATAATTGCCATGGGGCAAATGCATTTGGATAGCAACTTGCCAACTCTTCAGAACACCAAGCTTGGTTGGATCGTTTCTGGAAGGATGTCAAGGCTGCCAAATCAAAGATCTATTTCCTCTGCCATTGTCCAGGATCCTACTGATTGTTTTGCTATTACTTCCATAGGAAAGCGGTCTTTGAACATTGAGGACTTCTCATCAGGAAAGCCAGTTTCGTTGCCTGAAGACTGCGATCGGATGCATCGTATTGTTAAAGGAGGACCACATTCCATCTCTAACATGGCCGCTTGGACATCATCAGAGTAGCTATGGTCCGTACAGCTACGGGCATCATCCTGGGAACCGTCTCCGAACCGTTCTGCTCATCGATTTCCATATAGTTGGAACCCTGCCTCTTCCAACGGGGGAGTATGTTCGGAGCAGAACGCCAGCACATAATCTGGTGCGCATAGGTGTGCCGCTGCAGTTGCATATTTGTAATCCGCTCTTCAAGCCTCTCTTTGCTTATCTATGTTATCTATCTATTTTATCTATAATTGTCAAAGCGACAGTATAAATAAGCCGCGCTTTCGGCTTATCTCGCCTCAGTCAAAGCAATTGACCACTCGCCATATACATATACTCTGTTCGCGCAAATATCGAAAAACGAAAAAAGCATAAGAGTTGCAACTCCAAAATAAACATACTTTAATTAACTTAACCTACTCGTGCGTTATTTAATTACAAGGGTGGCATATTGGTTGTCTTCCCCATAAACATGTCCCTTCCTATTTTTTTTAATTTCAATTTCTTATTTTTACTTTTATATATTCGTTGTAACATGTAATATCCATTTGAATTGAATAAAAAATTTTCTCAGAAGTTATTGACATTATTTGGGTACTAAACTACACTGAAACCAAAATGGCGTTTTTACCCCACTGGGTGGGGTCAATTAAAGTCAAACTAACGGAGTTACAGCGTTTTAAACAACCGTATTTGGACGTATTTTCACGTATAAAAATACTTTAAATTGATTTTGCCGAAGACGTTATTTTGAAAGTCGGTGAACATCAGGACTCAAAATCTACTGATCGAATCAAAATCAAACCGATCCTTTTCAAATTTTTAACACAAATTCTCAACATAAATACGCAGGTAATCAGAAAGAGTTTTTTTTAATTTTTAATTTTTTTCTATTTTTAAAAAATAAATGAACAGCGATTTTTTAAGCTAAAATCGCACTTTTCACTTTCAAGTGCTCCCAAAAATAGATGATGTTCACCGCAAAACAACTTTTTCTTTGGGCGCTTAACCGCCACAGGCTTATTTCTAAATATTTTTTAATAATTTTTCTTTTCTAATACTCTTCAAAAGTTAAACAATAACATGTAATTAAGCTCAATAAACTTACTCATTTCGCCGCAAAAAAAAATCAAACATGGCCCTTTTTTTGGCCTTTAAAACCTTTTTATTTATAGTACTGATTGATCGATTTACTATTGCTATCATCAATCATACGCGGATAAGTAATCGAAGAAGACTATCAATTTCATCTATATTTTATTTTATTAAATTTTATTTATATTATTAAAATTATTTTAACTTCATGTTCTTAAAATGTTTTTACTTACTTATGTATTTCTGGAGAATCATAGGATAACAATCGAACTAATGGAGGTATTCCACCAAGGGATCTTGTACGTTGTTTGTTGGGGTCATCCATGTAGCATAAATGTTGTAAATATGCTGCCGCATTCGCCTTTATAGCAGTGTTCGGATTGCTTAAAAAACCTATAACTTCAGAAAGGTTTGGATCCCTCCACCTCATTGTTGAACAAAGATCATTTTCTGATCCTCCAATATATTCATCTTTTTTTCCAAATCCTTGACTTACAGCATTTAAAGAACTCATAGCAAATTGTGGTAATTTAAATTCAGCTGAACTATCAAAAGGTCGACATTGTGAATCCGCTACTGAATCAGTTCCGTTCAGGTTATCGTTAAAAGGTCTTCCAGAAAAGGGTTTAAGATTTGAAATTGTGCTTTGAACTCCGGTGAAGTTTGCTTCGGACGTATAGCAGTAAGGGGCAACTGATTCATCGGTGTATTCAGGTTCCACACAGGGTATTCCAGCTACGCCATATTCTGGCGTTTCTTCAAACTGGCCTGCTTGTACATATCTTACTGTTGGAGCTAGTGAATGACTTTCAATGCGTGGAATGGAATTGTCAGAAGGGGTGTTCTCAACCTTACTTTGAGGGCCGAGAACTGAACAATGTGGAGTCATGTGAGGTAAAGCAGTAATTCCAGGTGGTTTTGTGATATATATGGGCGCATTTGAAAATCCAGATGCTGAGAATTGTTCAAAATTTTGAAAGGACGCATATTGGGTTTGTATATTTCCAGACTCGGCTGCCAAAGATCGATCGATATTCATGTTGTGTATCGGATTCATATTAAAACTGAAATAAAGAATAAGGTATTACAATAAGTTATTAAAATTGGTAAAAAAAAAATTTAAAAAAAAGTACACAAATTTTGCATATGTCTAGAATATTGTCGGCTAGATACACGTAGGAGCGATATAAGATTTCTAAAGACCTAAAATGTTCAATGTTCGTAAGAGGGGGTAAAGTTTTAAATGCAAAAAAGGGCTATATTTGTGTTTTTGCGGCGACATATGTAAGTGATTTCATTTTATTAGGGGGAGGTTCTTTTCTTTTTTTTCGAAAATTAAGCAAACTTTGAGAATTAATTGCGGAAAAATGAAAAGACATACGAACTTATGCTTTTGAACTTTTGATTCGTTGTTTATTAACGATTTTTTTTTTTTTTTTTTTTTTTGTATATTAGGTTACTTCCTGTCCGTTAGGTGGAAGATTTATTTGGCCTCCCCGTGTTGAACGGGTTAACGCCACCGCCAATGTGTGAAATTATCTTTCAAGAAACCGAGATTATTTAGATAAAATGCGTGTTTTATGGTGTTTTTAATGTGTACGATAACGGTGAATAATGAGGTGTAATCGATGAATGCGTTATCGTGTTTTATGAATTGTTATTGTATGAGTGATGAGTGTTAAACGTGTGAATGAAATGAGCAGAGTTGTGTGGTGTGATTATGTGTATTAGATATCGATATTAGCAGTGTTAATAAAATTTGTAATCGAGGTCCAGTTTTCAACAGGTTCATGTCTAAATAGGCTATATATATCGTTGTACTTGAGCAGTGTTGGGTAGTTTTGTCTTATTTGTGTATATTTTGTACACTTTAATAAAATATGTGAAATATCTTCAGAAGTGTTGCATGAATCACAGATATCGTTATTAAAAACTTTCATTTTGGACAAGGTGTGTTTATCAAAAGCGTGTCCACTTAAGATACGATTAAGTTGTTTAGTCTCTAAGCGATTAAAGAAATCTTCTTTATTGTGGAACCAAGGCTTGGAGGTCGAATGTGGATACAAAAGAGAGTAACCTTTATTGCGTTCCAGAGAGAATTGACTGTATGATCTCTCCCAATCTTGTTTGATTTGCGAGAACAAATGGTTTATGGCATCCTTGAGAGTCCATCTGATGTTTATGAATGAGCCGTTGTATCTAGCATTTTTTGCAGCCAAATCTGCAAGATCGTTCTCCCATATGTTAACGTGACTCGGAATGTGATGAAATTCAACAGAACGAAGAGTGCTGCAGTTTATGATTTTCTTCAAAATGCTCTGGGCAATACAATTTTTGGAGTCTTGATTTTTAATAGTTTGGATAGCTCCAAGGCTGTCTGTTAATATGGCAAAACTTGAAAAGATGTTAGAAATGCCAAAGTCAACGGCTTTTTCTAGGGCTGTGAGTTCAGCAGTCAGCGACGACAGTTTTTTGTCTGAGTAAAAACTTTGTACTGTATTAGATTTCATGTGGACGAAAGCACTACCTGTAAAATTCTCGGATACGGAACCATCTGTATAAATAATTTCAACGTTTTTGCTGACAAGGTTATTTAGCTTTTCTTTTAACAGGGATTTTATAATAAGATCATTAGCAGAATTCTTATTAGGGCAGGTGCCTTTGAAAAATTTAGTATCCAAGAAAATTTTTCGTGTGAAAAGAGAGAAAGGACAAATTGGAGCAATACACCAAACTACACCTGGAATTATTTGTAATCCAAACCTCGGATAATAATGCAATGTCTATATTGTTATTCACTAAATAAAGTTCCAATAGTTGTTTATTGTTATTAGCAGTTAAGCTCTGAATGTTATATTGTAAAATTTTAAAAGTCATTAATTTTGTATTATATTTTTTTTTTTTTTTTTTTTTTTTAAAACAAGTATTTAGACAAAGCCTAATAAATAAACATATAAAAAACAAAAAAATAAATAAATAAAAAACAAATACAGAAAAAGTAAATAAAATATAAATAAAATAAATAAATAAAAATGAATTATTTAAAATTTAGTAGTAATAATTAAACTACTTGATTAATTTTAAACAAATCAATTTTGTTGTTCGTCACAGCAATTCTATTTCTGAGGTTTTCTAAAAAATTTCTAGACTCGGGAACTAAATTAATAGATTCATTGACTAGAAAAGAGGAAATATCTGAAGCAAATTGAGTTAAACTTTTTTCCGCCGCTACAAGAGCAGCGTTGTCTGAAGCTGATTGACTAGAAATATTACTATGGATGTGAGTGAACTTTTCATTTGCAGTGTATTCTTGATCTTTAAGAGCAGCTTTCCAGCTGGTCATAGTTTCCCGGGCATTTTTCTCTTCGTTCACCTTGTTAAGAGAGTTTCTAACTACTTTGCTATATGGGTTTTGGAGGTGTATATGCTGAGCCACAGCTTTAGTGTTGTTTTGTAAAACAGGGATTGACGATTTTTTTTGCCATGACGGCTGAGGAAATTGGGAAATATCGTTGATATCAACTTCGTCTAGAATTTGGAAAAGGGAAGGGTATTTAATTTTAGTTTCTGTTCGCGACAAGTTTTCTAAAGTCATACACTTTTGGATGGCATACGCTCTCTTCCGCGCTGGGCAATCAAGAGAGGTGGCTGGATGGTTTTGTTTACAGTTAGCGCAGACCGTCTGATTGCACTGCTGATCTTTAGGGTGAGAGAGTGAGCACTTACTACATTTTTGTTCTCTTTGTTTACAATTCTGAGCAAAATGTCCAAATCTAAAGCACCGAAAACATTGACTAAAGGGAACATAGGGACTAACACTAATTTTTGTATACAAAAAAACAATTTCATTAGGGATTTGTGCGCCCTTAAACAGAATTTTAACTCTTGAAGTGTTAATAAAGGCAACTTTGTTATTTTTATCTCTGGTTTTCACACGAATGATATCATGGATTGGCACTGGGGAGGAAATATACTCTTTTAATTCTGAGTCCGAGAATTTTACTGGGATATTAAAAATAATGCCCATCTTGAAAATAAAATGTTTAAAAATTTTAGGTTCATATCCATTTTTTTTTAAATCTGAAGATAACAAACTGTTGGCTGCCGCCGCTGACTTGCACTCAGCTTTGCAGCGCCCATAGCCTATTTTATTGACAGAAATTATATCTTTGATTTTTAACTTAAGCAAAACCGCATTCAACTCCAGTGGGTTGATTGGTACTCTATTATGACGGTTGTCTGTGTTTGTTTCAATCGCTTTGTCAATATATACCACAAACGGACCTTTGTGGGAGCTGTGGTATAGGAACCCGTTATTTTCAGTTTTCTCGCTTACATCCTCATTTCTTACTGCCTCTTCGTTGTTAAAAGGAACCGTAATACTGTCACTTACTTGTTTGCTTGGACTACCAGGTTCGATGACCTCTTTCATCTCCACTTCGTTATCTGAACTTGTTTCTACATCCTCTATTATTTTCTTCTTTTTTGAAAACGGTGATAACTTTGGTTTCTTGAAAATACTCTGCTCCGAGGATGGGGTTTTTCCCTTGGCCTCGGAGGCCATTTTCCTCTGGGTAATTTTACCCGTTTTTATTTTTTTTGTTTTTAATTAATCACTAGCTAGTAATCGAAAAAATAAAACACAATAATTATTTATGGAATTTGTTTTGAAAAAAACAAATTTTATATTAATATAATTTCGTTATCGTCACACTGCTCAAAAAACACCTCCCGACTCGTATGCCGATTCTTCGTTGTTATTAACGATTAAAAAAAATTCAATATTCAGGAAATTCAAAATGGCGGCTTCAAAATGGCGGATCTCGTAGACCTCTATTTTTCAGCTTTGTCGAGTGTCGGGCCGCTGGCAGTGAACCGAAATTAAAAATGTAAATTATTTATTAAAATTGATGGAATTTCCTATGCCTTATACCTAACTAGAATCAATTTTGGTAAAAATAAACCAATTTTATGGACATTTAAAAAAAAATGGACTTTTTTTTTTACTTTGATCTCGTTTAAAAATTATAAATAAACAATTTTTTATGCCAATTTTAGGTATAAGGCATACAAAAATGTATATACTTTCAAAAAATTTTTTGAATGAAGGAAATCGGATCAATAGAACGACCCCTGTGCGCGACAAGAGGTTTGAAAACATGGTTCCGAGAAAAACGCGTTTAAAATTTTTAGAGCGTACCACAGCGCATGTGACATGGGTATGTTTGACACGCTCTAGCTCAAGAAATACGCGTCGTATCGAAATATCCTTTGGCACGTATACATGTAACTTTCATTTTATTAAAAAAAAAAAAATCTATTTTTTCAAAAAAAAAGAAAAGAACCTCCCGTTAAGTTTAATGACATATTACTGTAAAATTTTTGAAGAGTAGGGGAATGTCGTCAGGGTTGGACACACTTTCGACCCTTGCCCATAATTATCGTTTTAATAAGAATTAAGATCATTTGCGTAAATAGTTTGAAAGGTAAAGGCAAAAGGTATGTCTGACAATTATGACAATTATGTTGTGAAATGAAAAACATAAAAAAGGGCGAGTATTTAAAAAAAAAAAAAAAAATGTAGTCAGGCTTGGCCACTGGAGTCAGGGTTGGACACTTGAATTGCTACTTCAGAAAAGTAGCAATAAAAGAGGACATTATCCATGGATCAGGTGTATTTTATGTCTTTTGACTCTTTTTTATTGTGAACAACAAATTTTACAACCAAGTATGAAAAAAAATTAATCAGATTCGCAATTAGGACAAACAAAATAACTTTTTCAGGGTCTTCTCGAGATCGTCGTCAGTAACAGTAGAAATGTCCTCATATTCTAAATCTACTTTTTTAATATATCGCCGCAAAGTCGTTCTAGGCAGGTCATAAGCTCTTGCTCCTGTCTTTAACTTTCCTTTCTCCAACTTAACTGCTTTAATGGCCAGGACAGCATTATGCAAGTCGACTTTACCTCTTTCCGTCGTTTGCTTGTAGCGTGAACCTCTTCATTACTCAAAGAATTTTTTTTTTTTTACTTATTTACTAATTAATTCACTTTTTGTTGAATCA